AGAGATTCACATAGCAGGAAACTGCTTTTCAAGGTTCCAAAAAGCCTGCTCATTACAACAACAGGTGATTGACTATTAGGCAGATAAAACCCTTGCTTTTCAAAGCAGATATCAAGGAGCAGAGCTGGGGCTCTGAAGTGGAAGCTACGACTCTCAAAACTGATCCTCAGTTTACATACATATGAAACACCTCTCTCTTTCCATGTATTTTATGGCAGGTTGTAAGAAACAGATAATGTCTCTTCTAATTTCCATTACAAAGCTCTGCTGAGAGACATTAATAAGAGTCTGTTGCAGCTGAAGTGAGTAAAACCAGTTCTTCAAAAGAACAAAAAAAAAAAAAAAAAGGAAAGAAAGAAACCAGTTAAAAAAAAAGAGAAAGAAAAAAAGATCATCTTTGAATTCTGATTCACACACTGGGCGATGCGCTTCCCTTTTCCCATTGTACACCACTCTGCAGTAGTCGCTCCCCTTTCAGAATGACTTTTTAACCAATTCTTTCACAAAGCTGCCTGCTCCCCTCCAGGGATATATTCAAACAACTCAAGGATTGCTTCAGCCAGAAGCACTTTCACACAGTTTGAGCCAAAACTGCCCCAAGGAAGACCTAAATCATGCTGGATGAGAGTTCTGACGGTCTTTTAACCGGGTCAGAATTTCACTGGCAATAAAGCTGCCAGTCTAGGAGCTCTCTTTCCATGTATTTTATGGCAGGTTGTAAGAAACAGATAATGTCTCTTCTAATTTCCATTACAAAGCTCTGCTGAGAGACATTAATAAGAGTCTGTTGCAGCTGAAGTGAGTAAAACCAGTTCTTCAAAAGAACAAAAAAAAAAAAAAAAGGAAAGAAAGAAACCAGTTAAAAAAAAAGAGAAAGAAAAAAAGATCATCTTTGAATTCTGATTCACACACTGGGCGATGCGCTTCCCTTTTCCCATTGTACACCACTCTGCAGTAGTCGCTCCCCTTTCAGAATGACTTTTTAACCAATTCTTTCACAAAGCTGCCTGCTCCCCTCCAGGGATATATTCAAACAACTCAAGGATTGCTTCAGCCAGAAGCACTTTCACACAGTTTGAGCCAAAACTGCCCCAAGGAAGACCTAAATCATGCTGGATGAGAGTTCTGACGGTCTTTTAACCGGGTCAGAATTTCACTGGCAATAAAGCTGCCAGTCTAGGAGAATTTTCTCTTCCAGAAGGACTTCCTGGAAGCATGAAATTGCCCTGTGGCTGGCTGGACACATGTTTGGGGTCATAAAACACCTGGCCTCAATGTGTTCAGTCTTGTATTACCTTCACTTTCCATGGGTTTTTTTTGCTGTGTGGCTTCCTTTATTTATTTTTTAAATTTTCACAGTAATTGACATTTCAGACTAAGTCCTACATTTCAGACATTTGCTCTCAGAAATCAGAAAGCTTGAGACACATTTAGGAGAGTAAAGAACTCAAAAGCCTTCTAAAAAGGACATTTTTGAATGCACAAAGAGTAAAAAAAAAAAAAAAAAAAGAATACTTTGACCTGTTTGGAATGGAGAAGCTTCCAAACTTTCAAGAGTTCACTGCAGTGGCCATTAGAGACCGCTGAGGATAAACCAAATTTGTATAGAAAACATGACTGTATTAGTTGAAAAATCTCCGATTAGAAAAACGTGTCAACATCCACAAATATGTAAGGAAACAAGTGTGTGGGAAGTCATCACATAAAATAAATCAGATGGAAAAGTAGCAAATAGGAACGAGAGAAAGAAGTCGGGAACAAATGGATGAAATGGCTTCACAGGAAATGTGTTTTGCAAACAGCATACTGAACCTTCATTGATCTTTGTGCCTTTTTGGCATCCTCACACACCACTTCTGAAGAAGGAGGCACAGATTTCCCAATAACAGTTCCCTCTCCTCCGGTGCTTTCGGACTGTCTACACATCACCTTCAGTTTCATTTTTGGAAAGCTGAATGGACTGCTACTCTCATGCCACTCTCCCACTGTTCCCTTCCCACCCACATTGTTTGTAAAATATGTCCTGCATCCTCTCTCCCAATTGTGGTTTTAACGAAGCAACATAAGGAAGTAGTGTATTGTTGTGTTTACTTTCCTTCATTGAGATGTGGGTTTCTGACAACGACGTTGGGCTTGTTTTGGGAGTCATCCACCGGTAAAACTTGATCAAACCTGTTGCATCCTGAAGCAATTGAGCAAAATAGAGTTATGGTTGCTGTAACCTAATCACAAGCAAAAACATGTAGGTGAGCTGTAATTATCAAGGGTTCTGCCATCTGATAACATTTACAGCAAACAGAAAATTAAAAGACTTAAACCAGAAGCAAATGAGTGGAAGCTTTTTTTTTTTTTTTTTTAAATAACTGACTAGTGAGTTTTCCCTGGAGTTGCATACAAATCTCGTCTCCACCAGAGAATCTATCCCGAACATTTTTCTTCGCTGGGTGTCGGGGGCTGAATTTCTGTGTTCTCCTTCAGCACTGGAAGTACTTGAGACCCAACTGATAAAATATCTGGAAAGGATGAGCGCAAGGGCTGGTTCATCAGATATATGCCAAAGTTTGTCTGAAAAAAGCAAAATACTTATTGAGATGCAACTCATGTTAAAGTAATCAGATCTATAGAGAATCTCATAACCCAGGTATGTTTAGAAAAACAATATTGCTTTAAGAATAAGGAGGTATGTACTAGCTCCATGTAATTAAGAACATTTTTAACTAATTAACTATAATAGACTGGTAAACAAAAGCTAACTCCATGCTATTCAAGAATAATACCTTAAGTAAGTGGATAAACAACACAGTATTTCATCCCGAGTTCCACCATATCATATCTGTAATTTACACTCCCTCACAGTCTTGTCATTTAGTGACTGTTCTGGCTTCTTGACAAATACGGTTAATGCATTATCACAACTAAAGGCTAGACAGAACAAGAATGCATGTATGCTCAAACAGTGAGGAAAAGTCTTGCATCTTCTACCACAAATTGTTCGCTTTGTTAACAGAACTTTGTTCTGTGTAGCCTTTGTCCATTTCCCTTAATTTGTTTTTATGAATATTTTAGTATATTCACAGAAAACATTCAGAAAGTTGGTTTTATTAGGACTAGCACTTGTTATCTGTCATTACCTGCGAAGCCATCCTACATAAATATTAGAAATACTTAGATATGTGTCCTTGTGATGCTGAACAATAAAGAAAAGATGAACAGAACAACCACTTCACCCACTGACCATACAAACCTCGCAGGCACTGGAAACCTGATCTGCCTGCACTCTTATGTGTGGTCTTAATCTTAAGCTCGTTGAACGTTACAGTTCTAGCTGTGAACAGCTGAGTGGGATCTGGAAATGTCACAGTAAGAGACTGGTGTGGTTTTGCGGTTTTGTTTTCCAACAGTAGAGAGTTTAGAAATGCACAAAAACCGATTTGCAATCTCATGATAGTATTTTCCAAACAACTAGATAATAGTTAATTAAACAAATATAGAAAGTAAGAAATAAAGGCCTGCTGAAGACCATATTAAATTGATAACTGATTTGTAGATTTCAGAATGTCTTTGTTCTTCAAACTGAGGACCTTGGAAGCTCAATACTAATTTTCTTGATTTTTTTACAGGTTTCAATAAAAAGTATTTTGTTTTGGTAGGCTAGAGCCAAAATGCACCAGTCGCTCTAAAATGTAAAGTAAGTATATAAGCAACTGAAATTAATTTGGTATTTCTGAAAAAATAAATTTTAAACCCAAAACTCTATTCTCCTTCTCCATTTCCTGATTACATTTACTGCCATTGTTCAGATCGATGATCCTGGAATTACATTTACAGCGGGTTTAGAAAAATATACTAGGCACAAGGAATTGCAATAAATTAAAAAAATAGCTGAATTTAAGGGAGCATATTTGACAGACTAAATATGAAGGCAGTATGTTTTCTCCTGTTCTTGCACAGTATAATTAAAGATACGGTCATGAGGTAACATGGAACGGGTTTTAGTCTTTGAAGAATTAGCGAGAGGTGAGGCTGAGACCTACTCCCAAGTAAGAGAGATGCTGTAAAGCAGACATCTATCCAAACACGGCCTCAGACACTGAATTTGGGTCTTTCCGTTTCATTTGTAATCCTAAACATTAAGAAGAAAAACACCTCCCAAGCAGAGTTCTTTTGGCTACTTCTGCTATTCCTTCATCTCACTGGCATTTCGCATATATGGGGTACGCGTTGGACCTGATCAGGCCCAGCCTATTAATGACACTTTGTGGATACCTCTGAACATAATGGTGTCAACACTGGTGGTCACAGGGTAGATCCTTCTGGTCAGTGTTCTAGTATTTAATGCTGACGAACAACTGCAGCACAGTAAGATCCCAAACCTCTAGCACAGTGACTGTGTTGGGTCAACCATGGTGCTAAAATGGTGAGTTAGTAATTGTTTCATTTAAAATATTAAAGCGCATAGTATTATTTTTCCGTTCTTGCTTTTCTCTTATTTGTTGACAAGCTGTGGTGGTTTCTCTATTGGCGTAAATGATGCGTTAGTCAGCCTTGTGGTTAATAACCTGGATTTACTTCCTATTCCCTAGTGCAAAGATGACAGTTGCCCTAATTTTGTTGTTTTAAAAAATCACTCACTAAACAAGTATTTTAAAATTAATATTAGTCCATGCTACACCACATTTCACACAGGAAAGAATTTCATAACTCATCTGTGTAAATGAACTTGATACATGAGAATTTTTTATTTATATTTACTGTATTGACATCTTGATTTATGTTAAAATGAGACTAGAATTAATCTGGGCAGATTGTTCACTGTGGAGAATTTAATTTACCAATTTTTCTATTGTTGTGAATCATTTAGGATGATTTTTTTCTTAAAGCACTTTAAAACAGTCAGAATTATTTAAGAAAGGGCATGTGTGAATACATCTTCAGGAGTTTTCAAATACTATTTTAATACTGGTCTTTAGTATTTCCCTACTCTCATTGGGCATCTAAAGTCTCGTAGTATGTTTTTCAGTGCTGAGGCACCTAAGGAGTTTTAAAGGTGATGGTATACTGATGGTATACATATTTAAGTACTAATACCTGCTTGGAATTGCTGATCTCTTTCTTCTGTGAATGTTCATAAGGCTAAAATTTAGTTTGTGATTACCAGAAGTGGATTTAATATTTTTAAAGTAAATTTCCTTTTTTTTTCAATAATTACAAACATTGACTCAGCAAATACTGATGGTAGCAAGCCCCGCCTCCAAGCAACCACAAAAGCTGTGAATCCTGCCACTTCAGCTCTGGTTCAATAGAAAGATAAAATGTAGAAATTGGCCCTTCTCACATTTCACTGTTGAAAAATGACGCTTTCAGGAGCAGAGATTACAGCCTGCAGAGTTATTACAATGAACTGCATAATCTCTCTCTGCTGTTGCTACCTTTTCCTGACTTCAAGGGCATTTTGTTCTGCGTATAAACTCCGCAGAACACACCAAGAACTGGGCAGCGAGTGCTGGACTGAGTTCTGTGGCTTTACCCCGCGCGGTCTTCTGATGGCAGTAGGGGCTCTTCCCACCACTCTTAAACTTCACAGGGACACAAAATGTAAAGCTTCTTGATTAGCAAAAAGCACAGCATTTCACTGCTGGGAGAAATAGATAAAATATACTTATTCTTGCCAACGGTGAATCATATGATAGTCATCACACTCACTTAAAGGAGGAGCTATAAAATGGTGTCATTCATGCATGTTGTTTCAAGTACATTTACTGGATCAACAGTAATATGCAGTGCTTAGATATTCACTGACAGAGAAATATCCTGGGTGCAGTATCTCCTTTTGTAAGATAGAAACCTGAGGTGCGACATCTGACAAAGGCTGAGATGAGACGCCTTCAAGCTACAGCTCTTAAACAATCAGTTAATTCAGACTAGCACTTGGTAGGGAAAAGTGATACTGCATGCTAAGACTTAGCTCTGGATGGATGAATTCTGTATTTTGCCCCTGGAGGTAGCTCTCAGCTGCCTTCTCCCAACAGATAATTTTACCCGTTCACTTCTGCTCCTTTTATTCATACAATAACATAACCTCCCTCTCATGCAAAGGTTTGGGAGATGCAATTATTAAAGCTGATTTTTTTTTCTTTTTTTAACGTAAAGATGTTTATTAGTCTGTATTCACCAAAACTGCTTAGAAAAGCCTTATAAAATAGGACAGTGGAAGTACTCACTTCCAACATGCTGATTTTTCATATTGGAGAAAGGGGGACTTTTAACTTGGTGTCAGAAAATCCCATCTGTTGAAAATATGTGGACAGCAGAATGTTTTCCTGAGAACTGATATTCCTTTGCTCTACCTTAAATGAATGCATTTTCCAGTTCAGCCACCAATGAGAAAAAAGAACCACATTATTTCAGAGGTCTATTAATTACATCGATCACTGCTTGTGTTCCAGATATTTGGATGAAAAGCATTTCATAGTGTAAAGCCCTGCATTACTATGAAAATTGTGATAATGATGCATCAGATAAGAGAAGTCATTTGCCATCCATGCTAATGTTTCAGTAAGCAATCCAACGGCACAGCGTCTAATCCTGCAGGGAAAGAAGCTCTCCCAAGGCACAGTGAGATACATAAAGGAGGATCAACAGCCCGCAGGAAAAAACACACCTCTTTAATGCATGAGGGCATGTGCAAACATAATGGATTTCCCTTGATGTACCGCTATCCATACATTTACGTTGGGGCAGACTGCTAATGCAGTTCCCTTTGCTACCTTGACAGCAAGTCCCAGCTTATAGCACTGCTGCAGATCTACCCACAGGGCTTCCACTATTGTTAGCGTTAAACTGCATCTGCAAAACACCGAAGACGGGCAAGAATTCAATGCTCTTTCCTTTCTGTCTCTGTGTGTTTTGCATCAGGTGGTGATGCATGTGAAACAGTGTGTGGCTATTTTTATGCTATTTGCTTAATGAAGTTATCTAGTCTTTTGCAGTCTCCTGCAGCAACAGAGCGCGGTCTGTCACAGGAGAGCTCGCTTTTCCTTTTCAGTCAAAAATTACAGAAGGAATCCTTAATGAGTAGTTTTTCAGAACTGACGGCAGCAGAGCTCAAGTTTGCTTTGTAGAGGTGCTTGCGTTTTATTTCAAACAATGTGATAAAAGGTTTCATGAAAAGTAGCTGGCTAGGCTTCAGCACCCTGCTTTACATTTATCAGGAAACATGCAAATTGCTTGTGTGGCTAATTACAGTAGCTGGTTCTGACTTTCAGCCGCAATCCATCTATGCAAAGCCTCAGTCTTTCAACTTGGAGCACCAGGTTCTCAGAGTCTCCGAGGGATGGAGAAAAATATGATTTCAGAAATAAATACCGAACCACCTCTTACAAGCCTTACTTTATTTAGCTCATTATTGAAGTCCATTGGCAATGCTGTCATTTGGGCTACCAATTTGATAAAGTTCAATATATTTTTCCAGGTTGTGTTGGTGTTCTTGGAAAAGCAAAATGGTACATATTGACACCTGGCTCTCTTGTTAAGCATTCAGGATTTGCTATCCATTCATATGTGCAGTATCTTTAAAGTTTTGGAAATCAAGCAACTACAACAGCCTTTCAAAAATATCAGTTCCCGTTGTACTGGGAAATTAGCTTAAATCTTGTTTTGCTGCTTTTTTTTTTTTTTTTTTGTGGTTTGAATCACATTATTGACAGCTGGGAACAAACACTGCTAAATTTCTTCACAGAATCTGTATCTGATAAAAAAAGAAAATGAAGTCTGTTGGATGACTCCTTAACAGAAAAGCGCATGCTAGAGACATGAGTCACCAAAGGATTAGCTCTGCAGTTTAACACAGATGCATGAACTCGATGTTCTTTCTCTCTCCCCACTGTGAACTGTGAAAGGTTTGGATCAATGTCCTCTGCTAGGTCTGCTTAGCACACATATCGTAGTCCTGGGTGCTACTCACTGATAACCAGCCAGTGACCATCATCCCACAGATGACTTGCAGGAGGGATGGGCTGTGAGGTCTTCTCAGATCAGTTCAGGCAAAACTACCAGTTCAGACTATCTCTTCCAGCTGTCAGGGTAATCCAGAGCACTTGGCCTTTTAATGCAAAGCAGGGCATGCTCATGAGATCCCATCTGCCAGCAGCGCTGAAGGCTGGGACAAATAAAAAAAGCTGAAGGCCCAGTTCTTTGCAGCATGAATATTGTTGTGCAGCTGAGGGAAGCAGAGCACTCCCCCGCTGTGAATAGCAGCGCTGTGCTCTGCAGTGCCTCGCCTTGCCAGGCGTCTTTTATCTGGCGCCAGGTTGTTCTCAAGAGGTTGGATTGCTCTCTTTGCCTTAGTTCTGTTTGAATGAGCTACTTGGTTCTAGGAGTGCTTATATCAAGAGCATCTTTGCATTGCTGAGTTATTCAGAATGAAAGAGAAGTTCATCTTTGCTGTGGGAAACATGCAGAAGATGCTTTGCTTTTCCTGAACAATCTGTCTCCCCGGTAAGGTTTTGTTGCCATCTGAGAAGGTCCCTGAATACAGGCTGCTTTCCCTCTCCAGAGGATTCAAGTCATAATCCAGTAAAACCCACATGCGTAGGAGCACCCCATGTGGCAGCTGGGCAGCATCCCTGCCCAGAGTGCCAGAATGTGCTCTAAAGCGTCTCACATATTCCAGCTGTGCCACACCATTACCTGGAGAGAACTTCTTTGTCCTCAGGCTACCCACCATGGCCAGGAGCTCATCTCACAAAGGCACATGTACTGTGGCTATCTGGATTGCCAGAGCCTGCTGTGCAGCCCTAAGTCATCTCAGGTCAGCGGGAAGCTGTGCCTGGACAGCCGGCCCCTGCCTGCTCGCCTCTCCCCCTCTCGCCCCGCACCAGGCGGCTGGCTCCCAGACCGAGCCGGCGGAGCTATTCACCAAGGATAACATTCATTGAAAATGTAGCCCTTGTTTGCTTAATGAGTCACTGAGACAAATCAATTATTTCCCCCCCCCCAACAAAGAGTGCATTATTTGTAACTTGTTTGTGCATTGTTTGGGTGAATAATTTTCAACCTATTTGTTATTGCTCTGCCTCTGTGCTGTGCCCAGTCTCTGGTGTTTGGCGAGGCTTCTGAGCCCTGGCTGGCTAACGAACTTTTACAACAGAAGTTTAACGAACAGGAAGCAATGAGTTTAGAGTAAGGATTTTCAGCTAAATAAATACTTATGAGGATATTTGTGAAGCTTTTGGGAGGCCAAACTGTCTAGCCACCGTCTGAGCACTCTCAATCCCAAGAGGCAATGCAATCTTAGGAAGCAGAAGGGCTCCAAATGAATGCCTGTATTTCACACTTATTCTCCAGTCACTTTCTTAATCAATTACTCTCACTTTGACTATATTCACATCTGCTCTGTTTCTCACAATAAGAATAAAGTTTAGTCTTAAAAGCTAACTGTATCGTTTCAAATACTTTCTGATTTTTCTGCAGATTTCTCTTCTTGAATGACATCAGCGCACCAGCTCGTGTTTTTCAAGATCAAAATAAACGCATTGTAAAGCAGTACATACCGAATAAAAGCAAGCACAATAAAAAATAATGCATATTAATAGTCAATTTCTGAATAAAAAACACGGTGAGCATTTTATGCAGGTAAACCATGTCATATCTGGGTTGTAAGTGCATCCTCTTTTTACTGAGAAAACAAATAGTAATGATTAGCATAACAACTTAATCATGAATATTCTCTCAGCAGATATTTCACTGTGCATGCAATGAAGTCACTACATCTTTCTATACAGCTATTTTGGAGTACTGTACTGACCTTTCTACCTCTGGCAGCAGACAGAGACTGCAGAAATTCTTTGTTTCGTTCTCCAGACTGTTGATCAATGCAGATTATTTGACATCTGCTACATGGACCCACAACCTGAAATTTTAGTTAAAGATGATTCACAGCTGTATATCAAAGCAGTACAACACAAAACAGTACAAGCTTCTGACCATCATAATATCTTAAAAACATATATTTCACATGCTTTTCTCTGTTCTTTTATGCTTTAATTATGTAAGAGGTCAGGCCTGTTCACCTAATGTAGATACATTTTCAAAGGGTCTACTCGCGAAGGTTTTCTGATTTTTTAATTCATCTTTTATTTTCTTTTCAGGAAAACTTTCCTAGAGACAGAATCTGAGAAATCAAAAAGATTTACATATTTTTATTTCCTGATGGCTTCACTTCATCTACCAGCTGGCAGGGCTACTTGCCCAAAGGGGAACTGAATACAAAATTAAGTGCCTCAGGATTTAACCCAAGGAGAATTTTCTTGGAGTTAAACTAACAGAGTTTGGTTTAACATTGTTTCAGCTACACTGAAACACACAATATCCCCAATTCTTTCTTATAGGCATAGCACTTGTAGATAATCAGAATGCAAAATGTGAATTTTCACAAGTTTATATTAGCAGAAGGAATAATGAGAACCTCTACTGTAACATCATACAGAGTATGGTTCTTAAAGTTAATACGTGTTCGAACTAGGGTGTGTTTTTATGGAAAAAAATGCAATGAATTTCTCTTTATCTTTTAAAGCATTGAAATTAAGAAGGAAGACATATTCCAGTTTCCTTCAATATTACAACCCTAACTTCAGCAAAGCTGTACATTATAGAAACTGTCTTAACAGTATCTCAATATACACATTCTACTTTTGTAAAACGTGTCATAAATTTCAAATAGGGCAAATAATTAAACCTGACACTGCAAACATTTAAGTGCTACTTCAGTTCTTTGAGGTACATCTAGAACTGCTTGTACAACTCTTCAGTGTAATCATCAAACCCGTACATCTGGCTTAGCTTTTTCAGAAGATGACTTTCCACAGGTTTACTATTTTATTAAAAGAAGAAAACAAGACAGAGAAGGAAATATTTTTCCCTGCTTTGCTTTGTTCAACAGCTTCTTCTACCATTTTCCTGGCATCAATTTCTACTGTTACTACATCGGTATCTGAATAAGGACCTAGCAGAGACTGGAAAACACAATGCAAGTTGCATAAGCCTTTCTATTTTCAGCTTGCATTCCTAAAGTATTTCAATGCCAGAAACAGGGATGCCTTTCTATTCTGTAGTTTTACACTATCTTCCACAAAAGGTTCCTGAGCTGAGATCCCTAGTGCAACTCCAGCCTCCAATGAGCTTTGGGAGGACTTTGTCCTCATCTCCTACCTAAAGAAATTCTTCCTCAATTTTCTGTAATGTGTATTACAGCTTACTGATCAAAGCACACATAGGAAGAGAACAGATAAGTCACAATTTCCATCCTTAATGAAAAAATGGCCTCTCCATTTCTTATAGTATGGTGACCAGAAAGAAACAGGAGTGATGTCTATCACAGCTTCTAGACCTTATCACTTCTGTTATTCACACCTTCATTATCATCCCTAAGAAAACAATGAATTAGCCACTTACACATTCTAGGTAATGCATTTTCAAACACATATTTCAGCTCTAAGGACCAGACAAATCCAATAGTACATGTAATACATGTGTGCATCATTCCCTTAGGTTTCATGTGTAGCTTCTTCATGGATCCTTTGTTAAAATTTTTCTGAAAAGAATGTATTTGCCAACAAAATCTAACTCTTCAGTATTTTCCTTCCCGTACAAAGCACATTATGTTGTTAGATATGATATGAAGCATAACATACGAAAAAGCCCTGCCAGGCTAGACTTAGACACATGTCTTGAATGGCGATTAAGACAAAATGTATACAACAGAGGGCAACAGACAGCGATTGTTCACTTGTACTCATGTCCAGTCTTTTGGCAGTCAGTTGCTTGATGTGCAGCAATCCGAGGTTACATTTGGACTATTATGCTTAAGAGCAGCCAGTATTCTCTTGTGACATGCTGGCTAAATATTTGCTGCAAACTGCCTCCAAACAATGACTATTTTTCTGCTCAGTTGGACAGAGGTGGGAAATTTTATGAATTATGAAATTAAAAAAAAAGTGTGGAGAAATATGTCAAAACCTCTCAATTATATTGAAGCATGTTTGCCACAGGTCACAGCATGTTTGTTTTTTTACACACTTCATGGATTTCATATGCACAAACTGTGCCACCCATGTTCCAGTCAAAGCCTTGCAAAAATTGCTCTGTCTCCAGGGGTCAAAATAGGTTGTGATAGACTGGGACTAGGACAAGGGAGATGAGTTCGCACCTGGAATCGCAGAGCACCTATTGAAATCTCAGCCCACTCTTCTTCTTCAAAGGACTCTGGTGCACTGATGACAATGTTGGCACGGAAACGTCGGATTAATTCCTCTATTTCCAATGGCTCTTCCAATCTGTCTCACAGAGTGGACAGGGAAAAAGAAAAAATAAGATTTATTAACTAGTTCTGCACTAGATATTTGTGCTGTAGAATCTAGTGACTAATATGATTCAGCAAATGTTTCTCCAGAATAACCTGGACCAGATTCGTAATCCTTCAACTATAATTTGTAATCCTCTAGGTGGCTTCTTCAGAGGTGTAACCTGGAACTGTGATGTAGGTATGAAAGCATGTAGACAGGCGACTGTGAACAATGCACGTTGAGAAAATTCCTTATTAGCTATCACATGGAAGGCTAACGGCAACAGATGAAAAGATCTTTTGAGTTAGCAATCATTTGATTCATTAAATGTTTCTAAAAAGAAAGCAAATAGAAACTTATCCTGCACATGCTGCAGTGGCAAAAGGGACAAAACCAGTAGACACTGGAGGTGAAAAAGGCCAATAAAGGCATTTTATGAGAGAATGTATTCCTCATATTATTATTTGCCTTTGGATGCAGCAGATTGCACCAAATGATAGGTGTTTTGAAGGAAAATTAATCTCTGTGTGGCGACATCTTCACCTCTTTACAAGCATTTGAACTGCCAGAGTGTAGATTTGTGTCAGTGTGGAAAACATATATGAGGCAGACAGAGCAGCAGACTGCATACAAATACCAGAAATCTGGCTGCACCTTTGAATTGTCATTCTTCGCCCTCCTTTGAAAGGAGAACCCGATCAGTACCAAAAAAAAGACAGCCCTAAAATTTGCAAGAGAGTTCTCTCACTGCCATTGTTAGTGGGGAAGAGCATTTCTTTTTGCATTAGCTATTATGGACATGAACAACTTTTGATACTCCATCAGCTGTGGTCTGACAGCTTTAGGATATGACACCCTACAGCATAGGCAGAAACCTAAGTAAGTAGTGAAAAGAGAGGTTTCTGTCCTGGGGGAAAAAAAAAAACCAACAACAAAGAAACTTAAAAAAAAGTAAGGACATACAGTTTAAAACGTGTTTTAATTAAAATGAGGAAAAACATGCAAAATCAAAGCATAGGGAAAACTGTTAACATCAAGCAGTCTTGGCAGAAGAGGTCTGTTAGGTGAAAAAAAGAACTCAATTTTGTTTAAAACAGCCTGGATGATCTTCATTAGCAGACAAATGTGCATAAGAATAAACTGCCTGTGCAGACTTTCAGTCAAACTACACAAGCCCTGCTCCACCAAGCTTTCGCTGTTCACAAGGCCTCCAGCAGCCTGGGGGTAGAAAGTGGGACGGGAAGCTGAAGGGCTACAGGTTTTCCCTGGAGATCCCACAAGAAATCCCATGGCTGAGACACAATTCGTAATGATTGCAGGAGATGGGAGCCAACAGAAAGTGTAAACTATGCCGACGCTCCGACAGACAGGGCGGAAAGTGGCAGTTAATCATGAACAAGTTCAGTTACGCTGTTGTGCTTCCTAGCTTTGCTGCGGGCGCTTGGAGCTTGGATGCCGTGGTAGCCTGTAGTTTTGAATGCATTTTGTGACACAGCAGTGCTTGCCACCCCAGCTGGTACCGGTGGGGGCATCCAGAGCCCCAGTAACCTCGGAGCTGGGCCTGTAGTGTCCTGAGACAGCTGCTGAAAACTATTTCTAGTTTCTACTGTTTTATCCCTTGCTGCTAATCCTCCAAGACTGCAGTGCCCCTACTCCTAGCCTCTCTGCCTTCAACCTGCTCAGGCTCACCTCCAAAATACCCCGCCTCTCCTGCGCCTATCCCCAGCCCTCAGAACTGCTTCTAATTACCTGCCAGCATGTATCTCAGCAAACGCCCGTCATTTGCCCCCCGCCCCAAACATGCATTGGCTTGGTGGAGTCACAGGCACCTTCACCTGCAAATTTCAGCCAGGATCTGTTGTGAAAATCAGTGTATTTTGCCAAAGCCAGCATGGGAACTTTGGTCTTTTCACAGCAGCGGGCCCTGCAATCCAGAATGCATTACATATATTTAACAGGCAAACTTGAAAATGAGTATATGCATCTCCAGGGGTGTATTTCTAGCCAGAACATTTGAGCATAAGGCCAGGCCATGGGGATTTTCATGGAAGTGACCTGTAAAGGCAACACCAGAGGGGCGAATGTCTCCATATATATACGGCTCTCCAACAGTATGTTACATTCTAATTTTTAATTAAATTGCTGTTTCTGTTTTAGATCACCTCTCAAGAGGCAAGTGCAGACTGGAAGATTAATTTTTACTTACAGAAGACACAAGCAAAGAGAAATTATTAAAACTCAATTGAAGATTAAAATTGTTTTACAAATCTTAGCAGGTTTCCATTAAACAAAAATATACCCATGTGTCAAGAAGCTAAATAATACTTTCTAAAAAAGAAAAACATTTAATAAAGACCCATATGTGCAGATTCTTGAAAGTACATTGCATAGTTCAATATTTGGAAAGTTTGTACACCATGACTTAGTAACAGTACAAAATTATAATGCTGTATATCTATGCTGAATTCATTTCCCCAGCACCCGCAGAATGCACTGCATGGCAAAATAGGGAAGAGTTTTCCAACCTGGGCTACAGCATAGGAAGCAAGATGCTTCTCAGGCATCATGGCAACTCTGGTCACATCTAGAGTTTCCTTTGAAGAATATGAGATTACAAGCCCAGTTGTACTGGGAGATATTAGGCGCAAAGTCAATGGATCATCTGACATTGCATGTTTTACCGAAGTTCCCTGTCCTCCTTCATCCTCACTTGCTGCTCCCGCTGGTGCCTTACCCCTTTTCTTTGCACTCAGATCCCACGTCTGGAACTTTCCTTACTGGGTCTCACCATGGAAAAAGCCCAGTCTCAGTAAGGGATGCCCGTGCAAGTGTTGGTTTCCCAAGGAGATGTAACTGAGCCAGTCAAGCCTCAAAAGAAGGCACTAACTATCACTGAGAAAGGGTAGCCAAAATGTCTGAGAGATGGACTGTTTCAAACCTTTTCCAGGCATTTTCTCCAGAGGAGTGTTGCCATGATATGCTAAAATCGCCCAGCTGTCTTCTAAAGAAAGAAAACCCCCAGGCAATGCAAGCTCCAGTGGTCTATAGTGGTGCTTCATTCAGTCACTGGTTTTAAATCCTGAAGCTACATATGTATCCTCCTACGGGGGGGTGTGTTTGTGTGTGTGTATATATATATAACTCCTCTACTCAAAACAGGAATTTCAATTCAGGGGGCATGTTTGGTGGGTGACTAAGAAGAGAGAAGATGACACTAACCAGAGGCAGGGAAGTTTGGCGAGACAGGAAAAAGGGGCTCAGAGACAAATGCTAGGGCTGTGGGATGCACAGCTATGATGGTGAGAGCCTTGAAGGCAGATTTTCTGTGGAATTTGAGCCTGTCCTACTTATATTCAAGAAACAGCAACTTCTTATTGTCAGCATATGAAAATTTAGTTGGTAATGGGTTCCTTATCTTTGAACTGTGGGCTGTCTCAGTGTTTTATTTCCTGCTTGTATCTCCCACTTTTGTACCAGTAAAGCCAACTTCAATTAAGAAATGAAATTAATCCAGTCCTGCAAGTAGTTTAAAAATATTTCTGTTGTGAATGTTTGCTGTAAATCTTAATCCTTCCCATAGGAAAGAAACAGTTCAGCAAGTAGCAAGATTCTGTATTTTCACCTGCCAGATTATTTATGTTGAGAAAACCTAATTATCCTTGTTCTTTCCACAAACAGAAGTTAGCTGGTTCCCAGTAGTCTCTTGCCACCAAATCATTTGACAAGAATTTTGTTTAAGTTTTCCTAAAGATGACTAGCAGAATGATTATGTTCAAGCATTTAATGCAAATTTTCAGAAGTCATACAGGAATGAGTAATTATAACAGTGTAGTACTTACATATTTATTGAACATTGAAAAGTAACTATCTCTAAATCTCCAGATAAAACAGTTATATTGGCATCTTAAGGCAAGATCCTGGAATCCAAGACCGCTGAGAGACATTTGGAGACAGAAGGACCTTACCTTGCAGAAATATGTTCTTCCAGCTGCAGAATGCTTGCTACGTTTATCAGGAGGTATTGTGCTTCATTCACAAGAGAGAGCGAGATGTTTGTAGCAGATGCCAGACCTAAAGAAAAGAATCCAACATTCTAAAAGGATTGTTAAAAATCAGGAAGATTATACTAGTAATTTCACCTCATCTTTCCTTTGATCACTTATGCATTCTCATTAAAAAATTATTCATTTGGATCCAGACACTAAAGAAAGATTCCAAGAATCCCCTCAAACCTGTAACTGATAATGACACCATGTAGAAACTGAAATAGAGCTGAGATTTTACCAAATTTGTAAAACAATTTACAAGAGCAATATCTATGGATTTTTGATGCTTTTTCCATTTGATCCTTTCTTATGATGAAATTAAGTCTAAGAAAAAATTCTTTTCTTATACATTTTTCATGATCATTTTTCAAAATGATCATTGAGTTTCCAGACAAAATCATGGTCATGATGATAAAAAACGCCCAGACTGGTGTATCTGTACATTTTCACCAAATGTAACAAGTAGAAGGACAGGATAAAACACAGTTTGGGTAAAAATATACCCTTTGAAACCTACTAGATCAATATTGAATGACTCTTTCACCCTTTATCAGGGTAATGATACAGTCAGTATGAAATCCATGAGCCTGATGTTTACTAAGTGAGGAATCACAAATATTTTTAAGAATGACAACATACCTTTTGTATTTTTCTGATGCGACCTGTTTTCCTTGTCTGAACTTTGTCTTATCAAGCGACATGGACGACCAAGAAACAAAGAGAACCAGCCAGCAATTCTTTCTCCACAGTCATATGTTTTTACCCTATTAAGAGAAAAGAGGGACTTAGCAAAATTTGATTGCCCAAACATTAATTTGCAAAACTGAAGAAGAATTATGAAGGTGTCTATTCTGCTCCTTCCAATACAAAATACAGAATCTCTATTCTCTGATGAGTGATAAAACAGAGATATGAAGCTCTGCATAATCTTATCTCCCAATTTCCTCAGCTTTACTCTGTTAGTCTTGAAGTTAATATCCACAAGATCCAATTTAGTTTTATACAGAAAATTACTGTGGAATAAATGATTAAATAATTGTAACGCTCAAGACACTGACTCTGAAGTACAGTAACTGGTAGTCCATATTACAATATTACAATACAGTATTATGAAAAAGTTATTCTCTGGTCTGTACTTTTTACTAAAACAAAGAGGATTAATCTGAGTTGAATTTAAGATTGCCCCACCGTGCCGCACTGTATGTAATTTTTAATGATCCCATCAGGTACAATGATGTTAATTCCCTAATTTAATTCATATTAGTACAGACACTCCACATTAAAACATGGCTCCACTAGCAGAGCCCAAGTATCTCTCTATCTAAAGATGTTTTCCGTTACTAGTAAATGGTCTAGTGAGTTATGCAAGGCTGGCAATAGATTTGCCATCTTTACCTGGATGTAATCTCCCCTAGAAAGATTTTAAGATCACCTCTCTCAGTTCAGGAAGGTACAGATCAGACCACTAGGAAGTGATCCTATTTGCCATTAGATTCTCATCCATGAATAATCTTAACTTCTATCTTAAATTAGTTAACTGGGTTCCCCTCACAGATAACAGAAAAAGGTAAGTAGTTTCCATCTAGATTAGACTTCAGGATGGAATGACTCTCACTCTGGGAGTGTTTAACTCCATTGACTACAGAAGGAGATTTGACTGACATCTAAGTTTTAAATGATGTAAACAGGTAACAGGAATGCAAATTCTCATGCCGATCTAGGCATAATTCTTGTAGTAAGGGAAGTGAGGTAACAGTAGTCCTATGCTCACATTTTTGTCCTATCCAGTCAAAGAAACTGATCTGCATGGAGACCATCTGCTCTGAGAAAGAAGAAAACAGCTCCTCACAGAAAAAGATGCTAAACCCTAGGATTGAGAGAAGTAGCTTGGCTTTACAAAATGCTTTGTAGGTTCAGCTGAGTTACACAGGTAGAAAGACAGGACAAGTGAAATCAAAGAGATTTTATAATCCTGCAGGGATCAGATATCTCTTCAGCGGTTATTCTGAGTTTTGATTGTGGTCCAGCTCTGCATCCTTCTCCCCAGTCTGAGACTGGACTGATGCCAACCACAGCTGCATCTAGCCAGCAATGTCCTAGAGTTGAAATGAAACTCTGGTATTATGAGATGCAGGCACTGTGGCAAGAAAAAAGGGGCAAAAGATGACACTCCACATGAGATTCTATAGTTTGAGCTGAGCAGTTCTTGTGTCCTTGCTGGTCGCTTTGTTAGTGAGAAGGCTGCTAATGAGAAGGCACGATTCTTCCATGGTGACAGTACAGGTGAAACAAATTCCCCAAATATTTGTTCCCAATGAAACAGAGGTGCTAGGGATATTTAAGTTCAGCCAATTACCTCTAGCAGACTGCTGGGGCTCAATACTGTATAAATTGTGATCAAAGTTTTGTGCTCTTTCTTATCTGCTTACCATTTTGAGTCACAGTGGCTGAGTTAGAGACACAGAGCATTCTTAGTATGTCATCAAATGTCACTGTGTAGTTTTTGTATTCCAAGACTCCTATGTTTTCAAATTGCTTTCGCTTACTATCAGACCATTTTCTGAGTAAGTAACATCATCTCTTCAAGGTCTTATTCAAAGTCCTTCTGTTGTAGCTCAATTCTACTCATTTGCTGCTTATGTTTATTTTTGTTGAGTATTATTTTTCATCTGTCAGCATTATGTTTCATTTGGCACGTGTCAGGCAATTTATAAAGGAGGGCCTTAGTTCTTTCAGATTTTACTTGCTGTTTGCCTTGAGTTCCCCACTCATCTTCTTATGATGTCATTTAGCTTCAGTGCATTACAGCTGGTCCCTCTAGCTAGGTAATTTATAGAGCAAGAAACAAGGACAGCTGAAGTCTGAATATTGATCCCAAGGGATTTAATACATACATTTACACACAACAGGTTCAGTTTGCCTTGTTTTTAACTACGCCTTTGTCATCTTCTATGACTGATACCCTTCCTTTGATCTCTTTGATATTGTGGCCTGTCAAAGAGGAGGCTGTGTCCCTGCCTATTTCAGTAGAGCACTAACCTTGAGCATTTAGGGTCTTCTACAACATCAATAACATTAACAACACTAGCTTCTACTTGCATCTGTCCACTGTTAGATATTATACTAGAAAGCCACGTCCCTCCGATGTGAGCAGCACATGCTGATGGACAACCCCTACTGAGATGAAGGCTAATACTGATGAATTGCTTCACAAGGGAAACGCGGGCTCATTAAACTTTTGTGGCATCTGTGAAATTAAACTTTCTCACGTGACTGCTTGCAGATTCTACCTCATGCTTTTCTCAGCTATCTCAGTGTAAATTCAGAGTAACCACCTAAGCCAACAAAACTGGATGAAATTACAGTGTCAGAGAGCAGAATTAGTAAGAGGAAAATGCCTTCAGCAGGGATTTTGTTTGAATAAAAGCCTTTTAATAAAGACTTTTGGTCCCACTGCCCACCTCAGATACTTTGCAGAAAAGACCCCAGAGCACAAGTCACCTCCTGTCCTACTGCAAAGCACTGTTTTGATCCTATTTCCATTTTTTGGTGCCGGAGGCTCCCGTGCTAAAACATTGGAACTGGCATCAGTGCTGTTGGATCTCTGAGCAGTTTGGGAACCTCATCAACATTGTCCACTCATTCTACCTTACTTCCTACCTTGTTTATTTGCTAATCACTGTCCACTCTGTGCAATTTGTCTTGCATCTCCCCTTTCTTTGTCCTTCCATCTTTTTCTTCCTCCTCAGAACTCTAAGTGGTTTCCCATGAAAATTTCCTATTTCGTACACTAAAAATGACACAGTCAGTGCAATGAAAGACAAGCTACAATAAATCGTATGGCAGCCAATTATATGCACACAGAGAGAACCTAGCCTATTTTACAGCCTTTAATAGATGGGCTAACCATGGGGAGGCTAAGGATGAGTCAACACTAAGGGAAATGGGACAGATGGTTAAAACAAATGACTGTTGGGTGAATTCCACTACCTGAGGAAAATACATTTCTGAGAAAAAGATCCCCTTTATCATCCGAATAGTAGTAGAAAAGAAGGAGAAGATCATTTCTTGCATGGCTCCATGGGGAAAATGGCCAGGTCTTCTGCTGGTTTGTTTATGTGATACCCTCAGAGAAGCAAATGTAGAGGGTTACAAAGAATTAGTATACCTTGGTTAAAAGAAGATGTAAATCTGTAAGCATCTCTTTTAGTTGGACTTACCAAGAGACTCAGTGAAAAGAAACATAGTAGGTAATGCAAATGTACTGTAGGAAGGCACTTGATACACTGCCACACCGAAAACTTAATGAGACTGGGAAGTACTTAGAAAATATGATAGATAAACACTTAAGTTCACTGAAAAGAAATTAATTTATGCGTAACATTATATTTCATGGTATGTCTCTTGATTACAGTTAATGTTATTTCACATACTTTTCATCTTCCCAAGATTGTTAAGGGGACACTGATCAACATGGATGGTCAAAACAAAATTAGAAAGGGTTGTAAATATGGAAAGTTGTTTATAACCTCAGAGGGTTTTAGCAATTTTGAATCCACACAGCATGAAATGGGCTAAGTTGCCAGCATCATTACTGTCAAATGAAGGAACTGAGTTCTAGAGTCCTGCTGAATCGAAGTAACTGGGGACACCTTTCCCTTTTCTCATCCTTGCAGCAAGTAAATCAGATATCTCCCTTATTCAAGTGAGTGCCAGTTCATCATAGTCTCTTGTACTGTCCGTCTCCCACTTTTAATTTTTTTTTTTTCCAGTGTTTTCTACCAGATGTGCTGGGCATGCCAAATTACCTATCTAAATCTGTCTTCTCCCTGGTCCACTAAGTCATTCATTGCTACCTACTCCTCCGCCTCTTTTTTTAAGGACTTCTGCCCCTGTGTGTCCATCCAGTCATGTCCTGAGTGTCATTGCAGTGATTTTCAGCTTCGATTCCTCTCTGCTTTCACTCACCTGTGTGAACAGACTTTACTCTCACAGATCACAGCCTCTTTTCCAGCATTTTCTTCTAGTGATACAGATATTGGGTCCATGCCTAGATGGGCAGAGAGCAAACCATATTTAAAAAAAAAATATATAGAAACATAAGGTCAGGAAAAAAGTTTGTATTTTTCCACCCGTTCACAATCACAGCAGCTTCCCAAATAGCATGTAACAAAAATCCTATTTCTTGTCGCTAGAATTATATTCTCTGCCTACAGGTGGCTCCAAATGATAATGCAAAGAGCAAAGGCTGCAGATGACCTTGGTACCCAAACCACATCAAGGAATATACAATTTCAGCTTTGAGTAACTTCATTCTCTGTGTATCTCGGGCAACGAAACAGGCAGGGAATTACTGCCAGTCATGTTTTCCGTTGAAAGGATGAGTTTATCACTGCTGTGCCCCCTTGAGCGAATCAGGAGATGAGGTTAATCACTGTTGGGTTGGGTTTTTTTTGGAGTGGTGGGATGGAGTGATCAGAAAGATGAAAGATGGAGGGGGGGGAGAAAAAATAAGCACAGGCTGTTCAAGGAAAGAAATATAATGTGTCATAATACTACAATAATGTAAAGATAAAATGTATGGAAGCCACTAATGAGAGAATTATTCCCATCTATCCATCTCTAAGTTTAAACCAGATGAGGAATCCGTGGTAACAATCTATGTTAACAGTTTCTTCGATAGTTTTCTTATCTTGAACAGAATGAGCCAAAGAGTTGGAAAGGCTACTGTGGCTTACTAGAACTAAAAGAAAAGCTGTACTATTTTCCTTTCTGTTAATTGAAAGCAATAATCTGAAATGACAAACAAAGGGTTTTACTGTGTGTCTGCAATGAATCCAACTCCTTTCCATTACACTGCAACATCAACCAGCAAAGACTGATCTCCTGTACCCCGGCTTCATAGCAGCATGTTTCAATTTCACTCATTATTTCCTGTTTCTATTATTATAGTACAAATCAGAATCAAGCTCTACCAGCTCTGTGATATGGTGAAATCAAATTGTTTTATTCTCTTCTGAAGAACAATGAAGTGTAGCTCAGATTCACTATATCCCAACTATCAGCTCTGTTCCATGCAAGTTTTCAATACAGAAAGATGTCTACTCGTTTTTTAGCTAATGATGTTAGTATACTTCAGAAGCAAAGACAGAGAAGGAAAATCTATAGGAAAAGCTATAAAACACTTAAGTAATGAATGCATTGAACTTGCTTTCAACAACCTCAAAAAGAAGCCAATGTTATCATCTTACAAACTAGAACTAATGCTCTTGTACTTTGAAAAAATTAAACACTAGCATTGTTCCTTCTGGAAAAGAAGAGTTTGAAAGGTTTCATCCTGTATGCATCCTTAGCTGTTATAACTTTTAAAAATACTTTATAAGCAAGGCATACTCACAAAATTTCTTAAAATAGAGTCTCAGGTCTTTAAAAAGCCCTGCTTTTATACACCAGCAAGTGTACCACATTTTTATTGAACAGTACACATGTTACAGTGATGTTTAGGTCAGTTAAACATTGTTAATTATAATTTTATTCCATCTAAAGTAAAAAAATAAAGCAGAATATTGCCAGTTACTAAAATGTAAAAGCTGTCATTCTCCATGGTCATTTGCTTGATAATAAAATTCACAGATGCGCTCACAATATTAATATAAAAAAAATATTTTTGACTTTATAGCTCTTATTTTCAGTCAATGAGAAAAATTAGAGATCTGTTATTTCAATAGACTGAAATATAAACTATTCATGTATATTCTTTCGTCAGTGTATGCACTTAATTCCCATTATTTTTATTGGCAATAACACATGACTATTTGAAGGCACAATAAACTCCATAAAGTGTAATTAGTTGCTCAGTTTTGCTAGCATCTTTCTACTCCAATATCTTAAAGGGCCTTCACAACACTCAAAATTTCTCCCTCTGTGCAGTGGCAAACTAATGCCCAACTTGCCAGAGTAATGCCGATTGTTAGCTAAAATGGAAAGAGGAAAATTAGTTTTCTTCAGAAATGTATTCTCAGCTGAATTCTGTTTGGTTTACTTTTATGTCGGTCAGGAACAAGCCCAGTGTAATATCTGTGCCCCTATGTATTTGATGGAGCAGGACAAGAAGATTTTCCTTGATTCCCACTCTAGTAATACAGCTTCTAGAAAGGCAGGCACTTGCTCCTGCCCACCTTTAAATTGCTGGGAGTATAACCATTAACTGCTTCAGTCGAGATACAAGAAGTTGGCTTTCTCCACAGGGTCTTATTTAAAGTCACACTGATTTTCTCAAAATGGGTCCTGTGATAGCAATGGTTAGTTACACTCTTCACATCAGAAAGAATAGGAAAAGCCTGTTAACCACCACATAGGAAATAAGAAAATAATCCTGACAAAAATCAGAGACACAGTTTACCAAAATTAAAATCTCACTCCCTCTACTGAAGTAAAGTACAGCCAATGAGAGACCAAGCACAAGCCCTTCCTCTTCCTCTGCTTGCACTTACCCCCTTCCTCAGGGATCAGGGGAATACCTGGAGCTCCCCAGCAGCCATGCAAGCCAACTAATTTTGCAGGCATGCCAGGGAAGGATCCTAAGCCTTTGAGCAGTTTTAGCCTTGTCTAGAGGCCCAGTCTGATGTCCTTGCTACCCATAGGGATGGCAGGATCACACAGCTGCTCAGTCAGACAGCGAGTCTGCACATCCAAGGCTGGTTGTTAGACGGGCTACCGAGACACGCTACGCACAGGGCTTAAAGAAAGAACATGAAGTGGTGTCTCAGCACATAGAGGATTCAGCAAAAGGTATTAAAGTAGTTACTGTCACACTAAATCGTGCTGACAGTTTTATATTGTCAGGCAGAGAAGACAAAGAATATTAATCCATAGTGAAATAAAATAGCCATAAACAAATTTTCCAGTAATGAAAAGTTCTAGAGTGAGAGGAAAGCATGTGCCTGGATGGGCAGAGAGAACAGACTCATTGTGTTTTAAAAGTGTCACAGATAAAGTCTTCACCACAATATAATAGTGTAACAGCAAAATGTTCTTTAAGAATGCTGCATAATTCAGCTATATGGGATTCACCCCACCGGGCTTTAGGCACTTACCAGAGGCACCTAATCCAGCAGCACGGTTGCCTTAGGCTCTCTCTATCAGAGAGAGACACCTCCACACAGCAAAGCGCGCTCTAGATGGAGATCATTGCCACAGCCTCCTCTCAGTGAGAAAAGCACAGATGACAGCAGAGAAACTGGTAGAGAAAGCAGGGTGGTTACAGCCTCCTTGCAGAGGAGCAGGAGGAAGGCAGCCAGCTTGACTGCCGTTGTCACCGGGTCAGCTGGGAGCTGCTGGGTTTTCACATTCAGCAGAGCAAGAGGTGCAGTAAAGGGGCAGCTCAAAGGTTTTGCCTCCCTTTTTTTCACTGCTGCCACCTCCCTCACCCACTCCTCAGCATCACAAATTTCCCCATCACACTGAGAAGAACAGAAGAACTGCACAGGGAATGTGAGGGCAGGGGGAGGACAGGGGGAGTTGGAGGAAACAAACCTCTTCTTGGAAATATGCATGCTACTGTAGCTGAGGAAAGGCAGTTCGGGTGGGAGGCATCCAGTGGGAGAAAGAAACTTGCAAAGCAACAAAGCTGGAAGAGACCTGGAGGTGGCTGTAGTCAGCAGACTAAGTGCTACAAGTCTGAAATACCATTAGCCACAGACGTAGGCCAGTGAAGGCTCTGAGCTGCACAACAGCTAGCCTGGCTCATCAGAGGGCCATTGCTCCTCGCTGCACTGATTGCTGCTCCAGCTACGCACGTGGCATTCAGCTTCAGGTCCTGCGTTAGCAACAAACTACTCACAGGCTGGAGAGAGTGGTGACAAAAGTAACAGTGATTAATACGGGATTTTCAAGGAAAGAGTCAACTTATTAAATTAAATTCATCTGCCATGAAATTATTTAAGTGGGAGATATAACAATGACGGATGTACATGAAGGGATAAAAGGAAAAACTAAAAATTTAACACCAAGAAACAAAACATGCATTTAGACTGCAGATAAGAGGAAAGAAAACAGAATAAATATTGGAACAACTTCCTGCAGATTTATCTGCTTAGTATTACTCTGTTAGTTTGTATGTTTTCCCATCACTGTGCTATTTTATGAGCAGTATTCTCTGGCATAGTCTCCCTAAGCAAATGAGAGCCATGATCTCACTGTCAAGCATTAAAAAAAATACTGCAGGTTGCAAGTACTCTACGAGAGTGAAAAATAGCAGGACTATTATAAAAAGAAGGCCCAGACCATCTTATGGGCTAAGATTATTGGTATCCAGAGAGAGTTATTATACAAAGAATAAAATTATTCCACTCTCACACACTGGCTGTACCAAAGCAGGCTATAAATAAATGCCAACCATGTCTCTGTTAGAGAACACTGGAGATCTGATCAATCACTTTAGGGAGGAAAAGTGATCCATAGACTTGGTCAATCACTTCTGGATGGAAATGGTTCTCACTTTCACAGGAAGGAAGGTGAATGACAGTGAAAACTCCAAAAATGACACAAGAAAAAATGTAGAATTTGAAGGTGAGTTTCACCCTGGTACTAACTATGGCAAGAGACTGTAAATCTTAGTGAGAAAGGGGTTCCTTGACTGTCATTTTTGTCTGAGAAAATTTCTTCCTCACTCTCTGAACTATGTCATTGCAGGTATTACTGACAGGCAAACATGCCAATGAATATGCACTTGTCTGAACAATGTGGTACTAGCAAGGAAAAAATTAAGAACATTCTTAGAGGAGCAGAATGAAGCAATCAAAAGGCCCAACAGAGCAGAACCTCTGAAAATGTGAAAGATAAATGGAGAAAGTTTGGACAAGATTTCACATTGTGTCTGCAAGCAATAAGTACCAGCAGAAAAGAAGAGAGGTAGAAAGGAACTGAATTTCTAGAAATAATTAGTTCTGAAGCACTTGGTAATTTTAAAGCTGTGAGAGAAGGCTGTCTATGCAATTGTACTACAAAAATTTGAGGTGCAAGATGCTCCACATGAATTGACATGAATTAACAATACCTTTTCAAAGAAAGATAACAAAGGGAAGAGTGGAAAATAGGAGCGTTTGAGCCAGTCTGGAATCCCTAAGAAGAGACTAGATTGTGTTTGGGATCTGAAACATACACACAAAATCACACAAGACTGGTGGAAATACCCAGACAAACCTATTGCAGAGAAAAGAAATTAACTGGTCAGACTTAATTTTATAGACTACTCAGAGAGCTGGAGAGGACAACAGCTATAATGTACAAACAGAAACAAGACTAGTTACAGATCCACCCATATGGATTTCTAACAAAGGGTGAAAAATCTGAATATAGGTTCCCTTGTTTTGCTCTAGCTGCTGAAAATGTAGGTACATATATTATTAATGATTAAGACATACAGGCTGAGTAAATGTTACACCCCAGGGAAGTGACGAACACCATTCAGAAACGTGTAAACTTGGCATTAGTAATGACTTTTGTGGAATACAAACCTGTTCCAGTGTTCAGTGCTAATAGCACTGCTAGCAAAATAAATAATTTTCCCCTCAGCAGAGAATAAAAAGGGGTTTGATGAATCCAGAGAAGCCCAAACATCATGAAATATTTGCCTGCTAGTGCAAGTATTTAACTGAACTAAATAATATCTAGTCCTTATTTTAATTCATTTACACTGAAGACTCTACCCCTCTAGTCCCACAGCTGGAAGGAGGAGGAGAGCTATAAAATGGGAAAATCTTTGGCCAATAGCACTGTTAGCAAAATAAATAATTTGCACCTCCAAGTAGCAAAGGGCTTTCCATAATACTTTCCATAAGTTTTTTTTCTTTTTTTTCCCCTCAGCAGAGAATAAAAAGGGGTTTGATGAATCCAGAGAAGCCCAAACATCATGAAATATTTGCCTGCTAGTGCAAGTATTTAACTGAACTAAATAATATCTAGTCCTTATTTTAATTCATTTACACTGAAGACTCTACCCCTCTAGTCCCACAGCTGGAAGGAGGAGGAGAGCTATAAAATGGGAAAATCTTTGGCCAGGGTGTTTGATGTTAGGCTTCCATTCCCTTTACCTTTGCAGCAATAACAGTCCCTTCAGGCTGATGGACTTCATGATGTGGAGGGACAGACTAGTCAGTAAATTTCCACATCTGTCAATTGATTACTCCTTCCTGAAGCATCCACTTTATGATTGCTCATAGGGACTCATTGTCTACTCTTTGCCCATCCCAACGACAAGCTAGGAAGCTACACAGGGCTGTATATTACAGCTTGCTTTATGCACAGCTGGTAGCAGAATTTGTCCCTGCAGTCCATAAGCATACACAGCATTCATTAGTTTGGTGGGTGCATGCAGGTGTCTCTGTCTAGAAGTTCAACACGAATAATGAAGGGGACAAAAGGATATTGGTTACTAACCTTCTGCCTGGATGACCATAACCTTTTTCTTCAGATCAATTGAGGGATTTACAAGACACAACCTTGGCTCCTGCTTCTGAGTCATACAGACTCCATTCTGGTTTACAACCATCCAGCTACGGTCATACAGCAAACCCTGGTTTCCCACTGGCCATTCTGTAACCTGGAAAAGCATCAGAAGGGGATACAAAGGTTTAGACAATGTTAGCTGCATTAATAGATTCATGCTGAAAAGAAAAGAGAGGGAAAAGAAATCATTAATGAAATACTTTGAAATAAGGAAAACTTGTGCAAGCCAATGTCAGCCTTTAATAAGAGAACTCTTAACTGCAAATCAAATTGCACAAAGCTAACAAACCTAAATGGAGTTACTATAATTTGTTACGTATTATCATCCACTTTGATTTAACACAGCTATGAGAATAGAGTAAACAACCTTTGAAACACTCTGAAAACATTCAGTTATATACTCACCCATTTTCAGGACCCTTCCCCCCAACAACTTTCTTTTAATTTACAAAGCACAGACATTTCATGGGAGTTGTATGAATTAAGGCAAAACCAAACAAACAGAAAGCAAGAAAAATGTGAAATTCAAAATTCTGAAAAAAATTCTGTATTTTTCACAAAATTGGAACCACTTTATCAATTAATCCATTTGGGAAAACCTCCGCCACTGAGGTTTCTGGTTTAGCTAGGAGCATATAGTTTCTCCAGATCCCCTTACAACAAAACACATTGCCTTCTTTGCTATCTGTTCTTCCATTACTTCTGTAACACTCTACATTCAGTAGCCTATACAAGCATATTGTCCTTGCTTTCATGTACATTTTTCTGGTGAAAAGAACATCTGTTACTGATGCTACCCAGATGGTAATCTTGAAATCTAAAAAGAGAGCAATTTTAGTAATGCCTTTGGGTGATATTAATAACTGCTTTCTCCTTCAGAATGTTAAAATATTAATACCATTCTTTTAACATAAAGCTGGGCATTTAAACATATTGCTTCAACTCATGTATGCTTTCTAGTCACAGTTGAGTATGGAGAAAAGTTAACTACAGATGAACTTAGCTGAATTCTTGTAGAGCAGCTTAGGGCAGCTCACATGAATTAACTGGCAAAAGACTTTAGTAAAAAGTATTGAGAAAAAGATTCATCAGGCACAGTCTGATACTCTGAAGAAAAGCATGGGTGGAAGCACTGGTTAAATTAATTAAAAACCACATTTTTGTTTAGCATGTGCTTTATCCAAAACCCCAAAGAACCACACTATCCCATTGTTATAAACTTTTCCAGGTTTGATAGGAGCCTGCAGCAGTACCTCGACACTGATGCCCTGACTAGAGAAAGCTGAGGGCAGGCACTCTGAAACGGAAAACTTAAGGCATTAAAGCTGAACCCTAAATAATTTGGCCACAGTTCAACTTTATTGAATATAGAAAATACATGGAAAAATTTTAAAGATAAGAAATATATTTTATCAACCTACTTGATTTATAATATTCTTTGGCAGTTTTGAAGTGAGCATGGATGAAAAATTCAGTCAAAAATAGAAACTTTAGGTCTGACAGTGTCATCTGAAACCATGTTGTCCAAGTGCCTCAAACTGTCAGCACCTAAATGATGTAAACCTTCGCTCTGTGTTTTTAGGAGAGTAATCATAGCCCGGAGACTGCAATATCAGCTGAAGAACAGGCTTTTGTCCTTGCTGGAGATTATTCTTTGGAGAGGCCAGTATTTTTTTGTTATGCTGTATAATTAAATTATGAAATGCATTTGAACAGCTGGTGATCATCTGAGAGCTTCAAGAATTTCCTACAAACAAATCTCCCTTCCAAAACAGACAATCACTAATTGGCAATACATCATCCCATGAATCCAACAGGTCTTTACAGAATTTGCAAGATATAATGATCAGAATAAACTAAAAGGGCAGAAAAATAGAAAAAGAGCATGAAGACAATGATTCCTAGCTCCTTATTGTAACATTAAATTGTTTTGGTTCCACTTCAGGACAGCAATATTATTCAGGGAACACCTTAAGTGTTTGCTTACCCTTCACTGAAGGTAAAAGGTTTTATGAGCAAAACAAAACACCTTCTCTCTAATCAGAGCTTCAGCTAATTCTTACATGCTGATAGGCATTGTGGGGAAAGCTCAGATGACTAGGTAGCAGATACTTGGAAATAATCAACACCTTCCATTGAAAATACCCCTGGTAAGTCCAAAATAATGGCAAGGAACTCCATGCTCCACTCTGAGATGCAGCACATGACTATAGGTCTTCAGCCCATTTTTCCCCTTTCTCTGGGTATTTGCCATTGTAACAAGAATCATACATACACATGCCCAGCAGTGAGTCCTTGTCCCCTCATAGATGTCCCCCGTACACTGTCAAGTGCCCGACCTCCTCTCCACTTTTCAACGTACTGTATTGCATAGGTTGCTAGGATCCCAATAAAGTTGCAACAACAAAATAACTGCGTACCCTGCCTTAGACAGAGAGTCACAGATGATTGTGAACAGTCAGAGGTGGTTTGCTGCCAATACTGCTACTGGAGATGAGCATGGAAGAACACACACATTTCTATTCTTAGTACTTAGGCATGCGACCTGTGCAGACCGGCCATTATTTCAAAAAGGCTGAAGGGATTGTTAAATGATTGCAATCAACTGAATTACAGCAGTTCAAGCAAATTCTGCCTGCTCTGCTTTCATCTGAGACACAAGAAGAGTGGTTCAATTTGGCTCCCTTGGATTACATCTGAGATGTCTGCCCAAGGCTAGCAAAAATGACACAGGCTACAAAGATGATCCACATCCCAGTGGACCAGCAGCAGGAGGTCACCCAGGGCATTCAAATTTCACTAAATACCTATATTCAATCAACAAATACAGTGAAGAAAAGCAACCAATGAAGTTTACTGTGAAGTAAAATAAAGCAGGTTAGCATACACTGCAGTACGCAATACTGTATTACACAGCTACTTGATTAGAAGTTGTTTGGCCATCTCTGACTACTGAGAAAAATTATAAGGGGGAGGACAGAAAGAAATTAGGGACACCATGATTTTACTGATAGTTGCTAGCATAGACCTTCATTCCCAGCATGGCAGGTGCACTAATCATCCAACATAAGGTCTTCTCTATCTGCCATAAGCAAGGATCATTGCATAGTACAGCCAGTACATCGTATTATCCTATATGCTTTAGTCCATTTTTCTTCTTGTAATGTAGAAATATTAATTGCAAAAACATGTTTTGTTTTGTTTTGTTTTGTTTTCCAGAATTTTCTTTAAAACATTTTAGGCTGCATTTTTCCATAGTTCACAGTAATGTCATAATGAAGGCTAACGCAATTTTTGAACACATTAAAGGAATCACTGAATAGGTTTTAAATTATGCAAGTTTAAAAATGTTAGTGGTCTTACATATAATTTATCCACTGATCACTAGGAATTTGCATTGTATTTTAAATTAAAAGCTAATTTGTCTTCTGTGTTGAGATGCAATTTTTATACTCTGAAATCTACTGAAGGAATAATAAAGTTATTAATGTTTAAAGTCCTAACCTTTTTCACTGGGCACACTGCATTATCTAATTATGCAAAATTCATCAACATGAGAGATGCTCATGTTTAAAAATGCATGTTTCAAACACATTTTATGTTGGAAAAGAGAAAAAAGTGATCTGGGATAAAGGTTACTCCTCTTCTCTGCTTCTCCCCATTTAATAAAATAATTGTA